ACTTACAACTGAAAGATATAAATTACGATTTTATTTATACCATATTGAATGCAATATCATTATAACATTAACATTGCTCAATTGAAAAATAGCTAAAAAAAATCAAAATTAAACACGCTAAAATTGAAAAAACCGAGATAATTTGCAAATTAATCATACAATCTCCAACAACTACTTCAATGATCTCCATAACAATGAACTAAGTTTTGAATGCCCATTCAAAGGAAAATAATCAATTACAATGTTAAAGCCTTCAGAGTAACACTTCTGAATTCAAAATGATGTTTGTTTGCCATGAAATTTTATATACAAGTTCCTTATTCATCAAAGTTTTTCCCTGTATAAATTCTTTTCCCAAATAATATTTACATTCATCAAACAAAAAATAGGCCAAAATTCAGAAAAAAGCCTCGAAAGTAACAAAAACCACTATAATTTAAATAATCATCACAAATTCAACAACGAACTAGTATTTCAAGTATACCAAAACAAAGAATAAAGTTTTACATGAAGCTTCAAAGGACAAAAATTCAAATCTCTATACAATATACTCAATAATTGCATAAAATGGTCACCAACCAATGTAACCAACCAAACCAACCATACATTGTCAAAATCATCAATGAAACTCAATTAAATCATACCTATAACATCTATTTGAGTTTCCAACCAAAACAATCCAAAAAAAAGAGATGAGAATGAAATTTCAAGCGAGAAAGAAATAACTAACCTCCACGATGAATGGCGCGATGGAGACAATGAATGCCATGAAGAACGACATCGGACGACACGTTGATGGCTTGAAAATGAAGGAAATGGCCGGATTTGACTTGAAGAAGAAGAGTCGAAGGTTGTTGCAAGAGGGGACCACGGCGCGAAGAGAAGAGTGAAAATGAATTTTGAAAAGGTTAAAAGTAACCTGCCATCACAAACGATATTACTTGTTTTAATAAGCGATATTGTTTCCAATTTTTATCGTCATTTGTTGAGTTTTGACGCCGCTTATTCAACAAGCAACGTCGTTTTATGGTTATTTTTATTTTTTTTACTGACTACCCGACTTATGACGTCAGTTTGATTAAAAACTGACATTAAAAACTTTAAAAAAAATTCAAAATTGTCATTGCCTTCTTTTAACGTCGCTTGTATGAATAACAGACATTAATTACCGATGTTATAAGCCTATTTTCTAGTTAAAGAAGACCCAACTTACTGTTATGCCAATCGAATGAACATAACTCATCCACCAGCAAAACAAATAACTATAATAAAATTCATTACTTCTTGAAAATATCATATTACTAGGGACTAGGGAGAAATAATAAAGTACAAAACGCTAATAAATTACAAAGATAACTTATTGATCAGAGAAACCTCAAAGATATTTTGGTTTCTTAGGAAGGCCTTCTGTGGACGTAGGTGCACATCCTGATCCTGGAGGCCCACATCGACAAAGACAAGTATGGCCAACGCAAAATCCACAGCTCACGTCAGGGCCTCCACATCTCACATCACAGTAAGAGGTGCAGTCGGTGTCATTATTGCAAGGTTTATCGTCTTTGTGAATTCTTGCTCTTGAACCCCAACCTGTCCATTTATTCCAACAATAATGAGTTTTTTTTTTTAAAAAAAAATCTTATACACAATACTACATGCACATTTTATATTATTAATCTTTTTAATTTGAAGCATATCATTGAGCATCAATCTTTTCAAAATGGAGAGGAAAGCTGCAAAAACTTCGTAAACTAAATGAGGCAAGAAATAAACCTACACCAAATTACCTGATGGTATGAACATCAGAAAAACAAAGCAAACTAAACCAATAGTTGAAGCTTTCACCATTGCCATCGAACTTCCCGCACTAAGAATTTGAAAGTGTTGTGCACAATTGTTGATGGACAAGATCTTTTTTAGTCTTGATTTATACTAAAATTCCCACAAATTTTTCGTAAAATTTTTTGAAGGTTGACTTTTTGAAACTCATAATGGTAAAATTAATCAGAATTAATTATTGATTGTAATTCATTAATTAAGCATTAATGCATTAATTCCCTAATGTTCATGCATTTCATCTTATGGTTCTAATAAATAACATTAATGTACTCCCTTTGGTCCTAAATGTAGAAGTTAATTAATGGGATTATGTTACCTGTGAATTCGGCTTGGGTTACTACTGGGATTGCAAAATGTGCAACTATCTTGATTTAGGGGAAAATGAAGAGAAATTACCAATGGGATTGAAATTTCTCCACTAATCAATTAGTGATGCAACTAATTCCGTCGCTCAACTTCTTTTTTTCTTGCCAACAATTTCGTCACTAAACTAATCGCTAAATTTCATTGGAAATGACCTGGAACTAAATTTTAGTGGAAGGCAAGTAATCTGGAATTAGAATAGAAAAGCAAAACCATTTTAATCTTTGAATTAACTGTATTAGTTGGAATACTTAAAAGTCTAATTCTTCATTTTGCCTGGGGTTAATATGCAAATTTATCCATAAATGTATATCTAATGTGTGCGAAACAACGTATATTTTTCTTAGGTGTAAAACTACCTATGAAAATTTAAAACGAGAGTAAAACTAACATTGTTGTTAACTCTTCTCACGTTGACCATTTATGAAATTATGTTTGACTGGAAATTCTAACTTGGATGCAGATGTGGAATGCTCCTTGCGCTGCCTCACCCTTCTCTCTTCCTCTCCATTTACTCATTGGACTCTCTCCCTCCTCATACTACCTCCCCCTTCTCTCTTACTCCATCACTGATCATACTCTGATCCCATCTTAATGCAGAAATTCTAGTCGCTCTACCCACAGTTTCTTCTTTTGCTACAACAACCAAGAAAATTAAAGAATAAAAGAGCCAAAATATTGTGAAATCTGCAACTTCCAAGATCTGCAATTTCAAAGAGTTCAACAAGAGAAAGGAGGAAGAGTGAGGGACGAAGCCAAAATGGAGCCATCTTTTGTTTCTTATGACTCTTCCTCATTATTTGTTTCCCCTTAAATTATGTAATTTTGTTGATTCATTATGAATATTGCACTGCAAGCTGGAGACTGCAGCTGAGGCGAGGCCATGGAAGATGGAGGCTTCGTGAATTTGCAGATGGGTGGGGTTATGAATTTTTTTTTAAGAAAATAATAAATTAATATTATAAGGCATATTTTGATTATTTTTATCTTTATTTTAGTTTTCTACTGCCAACGAGGAGATTATTAAGACCACATCTGCTCTCATATCAGCGTTTTCAGTCAACAAATGGAGCCCATTAAATCAAAAATAACGGACGTTTATCATATTTAATGGTGTTATCATTTTTTTATCTCATTTTAAACTTTTATATCTTATTTTGCACCTAAGATAAGTACATCGTGTTTGGCGTATTTGGGCATAAAGTTATGGGTGAATTTACACCTTAACCCTATTGCTTATATAGAAATTAATTATAATATAATGGGGAAAACCATTTTGCAAGTACCTATAGTTTCACTCAATTTTTAATTTGGTACCTCTATTTTTTTTTCTTTTTTTTTTAAAATCCTTCAACTTTACACAGTTAACACCGTTAGCCCTATATTTTGAAAACCACACTGAAGGGCCAACGGAAAAATATACGGCGTTAAAATACAATAGAGAGGGAAAAATTGAGACCTACAAATGCATACGATCAGTTCTGAAATAGGGTCATCTTCGCTATTAGTTGAGCACTGTGGGCAAGAACACTACTGAAGACGCACGGTCGGTATTCCATTGCAAGGAGTTCGATCAGTCCAAAACAACAGGTATCGTTTTTATGTCTAATCTGTTCATTGAAAGTGTTGCCTCCTCCATTTGCTGAACGTGTTACTTGGTTTCATGGGTATGTTCGTCTTTTTGTTTATGTGTGCGTTTTCATGGGTGTGTAATCTTCCTATTTTGGGTTCATTCTTCTCTTTTCTGATTTGTTGTTGTTAGGGCTAAATATGGGACGATCAGAAATAGGGACTGAGGATGATAGCTTACATGATGTTTTGTCTGTTGAGGATAGTGATGAAGCAGAACTAGAAGATGATTATTTTCAACATTTTATTAATACTAATGTAGCTGATTATGTTGGGCAAGCTAACGGAGGTTCTTTTAATGTCTCAGAAAATCAACTTGCATATTTAGAGACAGTTCCTATGTTTGGCCAATTTGAAGATAATATTAGAGATATGGTATTTGATTTAGAAGATGATGAATTATATGAAGCTTATATATCAGATGAGGAGGAAAATAAAAAAAAACTGACGAGAAACATAAAGTATGATCCTTCTATGATGTCCAGAGATTTTGAATTTAAGCTTGGAATGGAGTTTACTTCAATTGAAGAGTTCAAAAATGCTGTGAAAGAGTACTGCCTCATCTATGGACATGATACTAAGTTTTTGAGGAATGAAAAACATAGATGTCAAATTATATGTAAGAAAAAATGTGGTTGGTTGATCTTTGTTAGCAAAGTTGGTGACTCATGGACATATATGTTGAAAACATATGACCCAAAGCATTCTTGTGGAATAACATTTGCTTCAAGGTTGGCTATATCTGAGTGGCTTACAAAAAAAAAAAAATAGTACCACGTAAAGATGAACAAAAATATGAAGTTGGCAGATGTGGTTTCAACAATAAGACAAGATTACATGGCCCAACCATCAATTAATAAGGCATACAGGGCTAGGAAATTAGCAAGGGAAATGGCTGAGGGAGACCACAAAGAAGAATATCATATGTTGAGGGACTACTGTAATGAAATTAAGGAAAGGATGCCTAGATCTACATTCTGTCTTGTTACTACTAGGCCATATGTAGATCGACCTCTTGTATTTAGGAGATTGTATCAATGTCTTAAACTAGTAAAAAGAGGTTTTAAGTCAGCGTGTAGGCCAATCATTGGGTGAGATGGATGCTTTTTGAAAGGCCAATTTGAAGGTATATTGTTAGTGGCTGTAGCTCGTGACCCTGATGATCAATATTTTCCATTAGCCGTGGCTATGGTTGAGAGTGAAAATAGGGATTCTTAGACTTGGTTTTTGCAAAACTTACTGACATTGGGAGCATAACTAAAAAAAGATGGGTATTTATTTCAGACCAACAAAAGGTATTTTTCTAAAATTTTAAATTTAATGTGTTTGGCTCACGTTGATTTTACCAATTATATGTTTCACTTTTAAGGGTTAGTTCAAACATTTGAACACTTGCTTGAAGGAATTGAACATAGATACTGTGTAAGGCACTTGTATGCCAACATAAAGTCAAGGTAAGGAGGTAGAACTGTAATAAGAAGTCTATTTATACGTGCAGCAAAAGAAACTTACATGAGGGCATGGAAGAACGAATGAAACAACTGAAAAATGTCTCTAAGGAGGCATATTGACAAACTCAATTATTTTTATATATTTTGATATCTTTTATATGGGTTTTGTCAACTTAATTGGTTCCTTTTGGCCTTAATTGATTATTAATTGATTTAATATGTTTTATTTTAAATTATTATTTTATAGGGGCAAAATTGTCATATTTTGGTTTAATTATGATTAATTGATTTTTAAGGACAATTAATACGACCTTATTTTTGAATTTTGGTTGCAGGTTTTTAAAGATTTTAAAAAAAAAAAGAAAAAAAAAGAAATAATTAAAAAAGGGGGGAAGCAAAACGCACGTTTTGCTCACTAACCTAATAATCAATTGAAACTATTCATCATCTTCAATGGAGAGCAACATGTGAGCTGGCGGTAGAAGAAAAAAACAAAGAGACGCGAACAGGGAGTGACGGCGGGAAGAAAGAAAGAAAGAGGAGTGAGGCACGACAGCAAACAGAGGCAAGGGACCAGCGACGTGACCATCATCGTTGACTTCTCTATTCCTTCCATTCTCGGCGTGACAGAACCAGCGACGAGTAGAGGCAGAAAACAGGGACCTAGACGGCGTCATCCTTCATTGCACTATTCCGTCATGTCTCTTTCATGGAATCTTGTAGCAGAATTCTGAATATGACAGCATTTTTCATGGTAAACCGTGGCTAGAGTTTCATGATTCTCTAATTCAACAACAATGGCAAGAGCTTGGATCATCAAAGGGGAGTTTTAGTTACTTTAATTTCCTGTCTAATAATTGTTTAACAATTCCTAGATCTTAGGATAGTTATTCTGATTATTGAAAAATTTGTATTGTTTAATCTGATTATATTTGGGGATTATTGTGACTGGATTATTGTTTAGCATTTGACATTGGGCTGTTTATAACTTTAATTTCAATTATAATGTTGTGGTTATGACATTTGTATTGATTTTAGAGTTAATATATTTTGATTTTTGGAGGTAGCTTGGAATTTTGGATTATATTGTCTTTTGCTAGTTTTAATTCTATTGTCTTGGATTTAAGAGTTCTAATTAAGCATTGGTTTTTAGCATCCTTAATTCTATTTTACTATTCTGGTTGCAGTTAGTAAATTAGGATTTTGAGAAAGTATTTTGTGGCAATTTGAGGTGGCTCGATTGTTGGATTAAAAGCTTAATTATAATTCTTAATTCATTGTTTTAACTCCCACATCTTTTGGAGTGATGATTGCTTGCGTTGTTGAATTGGAGGATTGATTATTATCATTGTTATTCGTGTGTTTATTTTCATTTCTTTCATCATCATTTATTTTAATCATTTTTATATTAAAAAAATATTTTAATTTCAATTTCATTCCTAGTATTTAATTAGCAATTCATCAAAATAAAAAATCTTTTTTATAGTTTAGGTTACTTGCATTTATTTATTAGGATTTAATTTCGTTTTCAGCTCCTCAAAATGAATACGACCCGGATTGTACACTATATTGCATTAATTCGGTTAATTTTTGGAGTAACCCCAAAGCGACAAATTAAGGGTAGTTATTTCAAGTGGCACTGTTGCCGGGGAGCCAAGAAATTGGTTCCCTAGTAATTAAGTGTCAAGTAGCCTTGATTGAGGTTCATTTGTTAAGCCTTTTTTAATTTTTATTTTTGTTAGTTTTTACATTTTCTTTATTAGTTTGCATTTGTTTCTTTTGATTTTTCATAGCATTTCTTTCCTTTGCATAGAAAATTTTTCAAAAACACAACTAAATATTTTGATTTTTCATTCATTTGCATTTTTTATTTTCATTTTCATTTTACCTTTTGCATTTTCATTCTCATACATATACACTTGCATTTCATTGCATTCATATGCTTTTGCTTGAATCTTATTGTGCAAGTCAATTTTACACTTTGCTTTTGGTTGATTGATTGTTTATGCCAAGAAGGGATAGGTTTAAAACCCTAGTTCCTTCCAATCCTGAGCTTCAAAGTTCTTTAAGGGAAGTTAGACAAGACCAAAGGGTAGAAAGGACTAGTGAGGTTGAACTAGACAATTTAACTGGTCTAGATTTGGTGGTTAACTTAGGTGACATAATGGAAACTGTTAACAATCCTAACGGTAATAACAATGGTGGTAATGATAGAGGGGGCAATGGACATAATGTGGAACATGATAGAGTAGGAGAGAATAATGGAAGTAACTCTAGAAGAAGAACCATTAGGAAAGCCACTACTTCTGATGCAAATTATGATCCTTTTAATGTTGCATGCCCTAATGTTGATGTCAATTTTGAGATTAAAGGTCCACTGCTTAATTATTTGCCTAAATTCTATGGTTTGACACGTAAGGATCTGTACAATCATCTGAAATCTCTCTCTATGGTATGTTCTAGCATGAAGCCTGTTGGGGCTAATCTAGATGAGGTTTTTTGGAAGGTATTCCACTTGTCTCTGGAGGGTAAAGCTCGAGAATGGTACATGAGCTTGCCTAGGCATATGGCAGATGCCTACCATAACTAGAACAACCTCAGAAAAGCATTCTTGGAGAAGTATGTCCTTGCTTCTCGGACATCTACATTGAGAAAAGAGATCTACTCTACAAAGCAAGACTATGATGAGTCACTTTATGACTACTGGAACTGTTTTCAGGACTTGCTTTCTAGATGTCCACACCATCAGATTCCAGATAAGCAGTTAGTCCAATACTTTTATGATGGACTTAAGACCCAAGACAAAGGGATGTTGGATGCTACTTTTGGGGCTTCTCTCATTGATTTAACTGCTAAGGAGGCATGGGAACCTATCATAAAAAATGGCCTTGAACCATCAACAGTATAACATCAGGGAGTCTAAAAATGTTAATGCAATGCATACTAATCCTTCTTCAGTCCACATTCCTCAATTGGACACATTCACTTCTCAAATTGCTACTTTGACTACACAGTTGAATAAGCTTGCATCTCACACCCCCTAGTGACACTCAGAATCCTAATTCTATGGAGAAGACTGCACCTAGTTGTGAGCATTGTAACTTTGTTATGCCTATCTCTGTTGCTTGCCCTTATAGATATGAGGAAGTTTCTGCCATGTATTAAGGAAGGGCCAATCAATCTAAGCAATGGAACCCATACTTAAATACATATAATGAAGGATGGAAAGCTCATCCAAATTTCTGATAGGGAGGAGGTGATAATAGGCAAGTTCTCGAAGGGTTTCAAGGGAATATGGTTCCTCAAGGGCAATCTTACTATGGAGGGTTACAAGGAGAATCTTCTAGAGCCATGTCTACCCCACAACAACTGCAGTCTAAGGATGATGAGCGGTTCTCTCGAATACTCAAGGGCATTAAGGCAATGACTAAGCACATATCCAAGTCTGAAGCTAAATCTGAAGAGAGAATCGGATGGAGCAAAGGGAAACTAGAACCTCTAATTTGACTTCTTATGTCACTAAGTTGTCAAATGGTATGAGTGAATAACAAGCTAAGGCTAGTGGTTCAATGCCTTCCAATACGGTGATAAATCCTAAATCTTTGAATGCAATTACATTAAGAAGCGGTAAGGAAATTGGTGCTAAGAAAGTGCAATTCAAAAAAGATGAAGAGGATGAAGAACCGGTTGACGAAGAGATAGAAGTTGAGTCTCCTCCTTCTAAAACCACTCAAGACATTCCCAATACTACTCAAGAGACCTCCATCCAATCCAAAGAGCCAATAGAGAAAGGATCACCTCCCAAAGGTGATGAGGTAAACATTTCTGACTTGCCTTTTCCTCATTCATATCTCATGAGTAAGAAAGTTGTTGAAAAGAAAGATGATGATGAGCTTTTTGAAATGTTTAGCAAACTTGAGGTTAATGTGCCATTACTCGATTTGATTAAGAAGATGCCTAAGTGTGCTAAGTTTCTAAAAGATCTATGTATAAATAAGAGGAAGTATAGGCATAGTGAGAGAATCCAACTTGGGTCTAGTGTTAGTGCTATCTTTAAGCCACAGCTACCTATTGAGTGTAAAGGCCCAGGTTACTACACTATTCCCTGTACCATAGGCAGAACAAACATTTCACATGTCTTACTAAACTTAGGTGCAGCCATAAATGTTATGCCTATCTCTATCTATGAGAGTTTAGGTATCCATGCCTTAAAAGACACCAACATTGTGATAGGTCTAGCTGATAGGACTGTGAGACACCCTAAGGGCTTTCTTGAGGACTTCTTGTGCAAGTGAAGAGTCTTGTGTTCCTAGCTAACTTCTATGTGCTAGATATGACTGATGAGATTAAAGCTGATAGCACTTTGATTTTAGGAAGACCTTTTCTTAGAATAGCCCAAACTATAATTAATGTGAAAGACGGGGTCATTATTATGGGCTTTGGGGACCAACAGATTACCTTCAGCATTTCTGATGCTATGAGTCAAGGTTATGTAGATTGCTCTTACTTGGGTGTTAATTTGATTGATTGTACTGTTAATGATGTTGATGATTTTCATAAATATGAGATGCATGAACATGACTGGTATGACGAGATTGTTGAGCATGATAATGCATTTACTTGTTTATCTATCCCTCATTCTTCTTCTTTTTGCTTATGTTATGGTGACGTGGTGTGTGTTAACTGTTTAGAAGTTGATCACCTCCTTTCCATCTCTCATGATTTTGATGCATCATCTTGTCTTAACTGTGATTCTGCCTTGAACATTACACTTGATGATAGCCTTGAGAAAGGCGAGTTTGTTGATTCCAAAAGGTACTAATGATAAAGGAGCTGTTACACAAGCTATACCGGTAGCTTCTCCTTTGAGTGGTGCTGGAACATTAGAAGAGGCTAGCAACAAGATTGCTACTCACTTAGTCACTTCTAATCCCACTCTTCCTTGTGATTTACTTAATGTTTCTGTTGATAAAATTGATACTGATAATCTTTTTTGTAGGTAATCCAAGAATGGCACTGAGTTAGGAAGTGGAGGGCATACACATCATGATGAGCTTATATCTACTTCCCCAAGCCACATAGATATGCCACTTGCATTGAATGCATTTGACATAAAAGAATTAGTTCCTTCTGTTGTGCAACCTCCTGATTTAGAACTAAAACCCCTCCCCCCTAATTTGAAATATGTCTTTCTTGCTGCTGATTCTAAATTGCTTGTTATTATTTCTAGTTCTTTGAATAGTTCTGAAGAAGAAAGATTGATTTTTGTGTTGAAGAGTCATAAAGGGACTATAGGATGGTCTTTAGGGAACATTCCAGAGATTAACCTATTAGTTTGCACACACAGGATCCTTTTGAATGAAGGGTCCAAGCCAGTTAGGCAACCACAGAGTAGATTGAATTCTCTCATTTTGGATGTGGTTAAGAAGGAAGTCTCAAAGTTGTTGAGTACTGGGATCATCTATCCTATATCAGACAATAAGTGGGTAAGTCAAGTACAAGTAGTACCAAAGAAGAGCGGTATCACAGTAGTGAGAAATGAAAATGATGAACTGATTCCAACTAGGGTTCAAAATGCTTGGAGAGTATGTATAGATTATAGGAAGTTGAATGATGCCACGAGAAAGGACCATTTTCCATTACCTTTTATAGATCAGATGTTGGAGAGAAATTCAGGAAAGTCTCATTATTGTTTTCTGGACAATTTTTTTAGCTATTTTCAAGTGCCTATTGCTCCTGAAGATCAGGACAAAACTACTTTTACATGCCCTTTTGGTACCTTTGCTTATCGAAGGATGCCATTTGGGTTGTGCAATGCTCCAGGCACTTTTCAAAGGTGCATAATGGCAATATTTACTGATCTTCTATAGCAGAACATGGAGGTTTTTATTGATGACTTCATTGTTTACGGTGCGAGTTTGATGAGTGCTTGAATAGCCTAGAACAGGCTCTTGAGAGGTGTATCGATAAGAAATTGGTTTTAAACTTTGAAAAGTGTCATTTCATGGTTGATAAAGGGATAGTCTTAGCTCACCTCATCTCTCAAAAAGGGATTGAGGTTGATAGAGCCAAAATTGAAGTTATTTCATCCCTTTCTTATCCTACTTGTTTGAAGGACTTGAGGTCTTTCTTAGGGCATGTAGGTTTCTATCGGCACTTTAAGGATTTTAGTAAAGTTGCTTTGCCTCTTTCCACCTTGTTAAAAAAAGATGCTGAATTTAAATTTGATGACAAGTATAGGCATGCTTTTAACACTTTGAAATCTATGCTTGTTTCATCTCCTATTCTCATTGCACCTAACTGGAATTTACATTTTGAGTTGTCTTGTGCTGCTTCTAACTTTGCAATAGGTGCCATGCTTGGACAGAGGGAGGAGAAACAGTCTAGAGTCATCGCATATGCCTCCAAGACGCTTGATTCCGCTCAAGTGAATTATACCACTACAGAGAAGGAACTGTTTGTTATTATTTTTTCTTTGGATAAGTTTAGACAATATCTAATAAACTCTCGAGTGGTTGTTTTTATAGATCATGCAGCGGTTTGTACCTATTTAAAAAGCCTCAGTCTAAACCTAGACTGCTGAGATGGGCTTTGCTGCTACAGGAGTTTGATATTGAGATTAAAGATAGAGCCGGAGTAAAGAATTGTGTAGCTGACCACCTTAGTCAGTTACCTGAAGGAACACAGGGAGTTGACTCTTCTGATCTTGTTATTAACTCATTTCCTGATTCTACACTTTTTGCCTTGGCTGTTCATGAGCCTTGGTATTCTAATATAGTTAATTATCTTGTCACTAACCTTATACCTCCTTCTATGTCTAAATTTCAGATTGATAAGCTAAAGAGGGAGGCAAGATACTATATATAGGATGCTCTAATCTTGTGGAAGCAATGCAGTGACCAGATCATTAGACGCTGTGTTCCAAATAATAAGATCCATTCTATCCTTACCTTTGCACATTCTTTATCTTGCGGGGGGCATTTTAGTGCTAATAAGACTGCTAGAAGGGTTTTAGAGTGTGGTTTTTATTGGCCTTCTCTATTTAAGGATGCTTATTCTTTCTGCAACTCTTGTAATAAGTGTCAGAGGTTTGGGAGTTTGGGTAGGAAGCATGAGATGCCTCTAAGACCTATGCATTTTTGTGAAATCTTTGATGTGTGGGGCATGGACTTTATAGGTCCCTTCCCTTCGTCTTTTGGGTTTTCATACATATTACTTGCAGTACATTATGTGTCTCGATGGGTAGAGGCAATGCCAACTAGGAAAGATGATGCTTTTACTATTGCCAAGTTTTTACGTTCTCATATCTTTTGTAGGCATGGAATTCCAAGAGCAATCATCAGTGACCAAGGAACACACTTCTGCAACAGGACCATCAAGTCTCTATTGGCTAAACATGGAGTCAATCACAAGCTGGCCACTCCTTATCACCCTCAGACGAATGGGTTAGCTGAAGTCTCTAACGGGGAAGTGAAACGAATACTTGAGAAGATCATGAAACCATCCCATAAGGACTGGAGTGAAAGGCTTGAGGAAGCTCTTTGGGCTTACAGGACTGCCTACAAGACTCCTATAGGTATGTCCCCCTTCCGGTTGCTCTATGGCAAGGCTTGCCATCTACCTATGGAGATCGAGCACAAATCTTATTGGGTAATCATGCATGTGATGCAAATCTCAAATCTTCACTAGTCAATAAGAAGATGCAACTCCAAGAACTTGAAGAAATGAGACTTGAATCCTATGACAATGCCAGAATCTACAAAGACAAGCTGAAAATGATTCATGACAGACAGATTCTGAGGAAGCAGTTTCATGAAGGTGACAAGGTTCTAAAGTTTAAAGCCCGATTGAAGCTAATGCCCAGGAAGTTTGTCACCAAGTGGGAAGGTCTGTTTAGAGTTACCAAAGTATATCCCTTTGGCATGGGAGAGCTCGTAGATAAGGAGACCGGTATAACTTCACAAGTCAAGGGCCATCTACTGAAGCACTACCACGAGGATTAAAGACCCCCTGATCACATGGTTGTTTCCTTCCACCCTACTCTTTTCTGTTGTATTGATGGTAATATCTCTTTGCTGAGATAGTTAGGAGTAAGTGTGGGGGAGGGAACTTCTCTGGTAGTTGTAGTTGTAGCCGTTTATTTCTGTTTAGTAGTTGTTTGTTTTGTTTCCTCTTGATTCTGCCATCTCTTTTGATCACTTGATTTATGCTTGTCTATTTTCTTTTCACATTATCTTATCCTATCTCTCCCTTCTCTCTTCTTCGTGATAGTGATGTGTTGTGCTTCAATTTCAAATCAGACTTCACAACTTCCACTTCACCCGAGAGTTTAGGTTAAGATAATGTTGTTTTTCTTATATTGAGGACAATGTATTGATCAAGTATGGGGGAGGGATTGTTGTTGAGTTGTTGAGTTTTTTTGGAAAAAAAATTTTCCTTTAGATTTGCTCCTGTTTCCTAAGTATTGCTGCTATAATTGCTCTCTTCTTTGCCTTATTGGTTGATTTTTGAATTGCATTGCATGATTTGAGAGCGATTCTTGCTTGGGAATTTTGCTGCTAGTTTCTATGTCCTCTTGCTGTCATTCGACTCAGCGTTCTACACTGCTGTATGGGCGAGTTGTTGTTTTTCTCTGTTGCT